TAGAACAATGTTTTTCAGCCACGCGCCAGATACCCCAGTCGAAAATATTTGAAAGGTTATTACTTGGGCTTAAATCATTGTTGCGGCTCAATTTGCCCTTTACAGGTGCGTGGGGGAGTATTCTATACTGTGTCTGATTGTTAAAACTACATTTTAAAACAAAATAAATGAAAAATAGCAAAAAATGTTTTTTTCTAAAAGTGGACGGAGGAAGGGTATTGTATGCGTACGTACGTCTGTCCGCCCGGGCAATAACTATATTTTTAGCAATAACTATAATATTTTCAAAACGTATACCCTATGGGGATAGACGTTCTGCTAGAAAGCTGATTTTCAAAGTGGCCGCTCATTCAAAAATGGCGGCCATTTTAGTGCCGATTTTACAGTACATTAGGTACAATATGTAAAACTGTAGCAATATGTTTTAAATGTAAGGAAATTATATGGGACATTAATAAAGCAAGAAATCTTAAAGAAGCACATGACAGCCATCTTGTAAAATGGTGGCCTTTACTCGCTATTTTACGATTTTTGCTGTAACTCGAAAAGTAGTGGAGCGATTTTGTTCATATTTTGTATGTGAATTCTATAAGCATATGGCACACTGTCTTATAACACTTTTGGTAGAAGGCGGCCATTTTTCAAAATGGCCACCATTTTATCCTATTTTACTATAACTTGAAAAGTAGTGGAGCGATTCTGTTCATATTTGGTATGTGAATACTATAAGCATGGCACACTGTCTTTAATGACACTTCTGGTAGAAGGTGGTAATTTTGAAAAATAGCTGCCATTTTTGCTATATACTTTGTTTGTAGAAATGCCAGTCATGGCTGTTCGATGGGATTTGCTACGCTTTGTTCCGTCTAAATCAACTAACTAGTCATTTTTAACAATATTGTGGGATTACTGGGCATTTTTCAAAATTTGGGCCTTCTTCTGCGCAAGCGCGTACATTTTTGGGTACCATCCCTTTTTTTCGTGGCCACCCCTGATGTCTTGTTAATAACACCCTGTCGCAGACGACACAAAACATTGATAACACAAAACTTTGATAACACAAAACTGCAAACCTATTCAGCTCAATACATTACGCATTTGATACAGGTCAGTGGTTTGGGGGGGGGGGGGGGTCGATGGGTTCATGTGAATCCCCCAGCCCCTTGCCAAGATTCTTTCAAAATCATACTGATTTCACCAATCTGAGCACTGTCAAGTGATTCTTGGCCAAAATTATCAATTGTGACCCCCTTGTTATGTTTTGAAAATTGACCCCCTTGGTATGTTTTGAAAATTGACCTCCTGAGCTCAAACTTATTACGAGCCTGTAGTACTATATCTAGTATACCAGAAATATTGCTCAACTTTCTTCCGACAAATCACTCATAATGAAGAAAGAAATAACATGCATTATGTAACTGATACAAGCAGTATTAATCCATATTAAAACAAATTTAAAACTTTAATTCATTCTTTCACATTTCACAATTCGTGTGTTTTCTATTATTCAAATGATATTATCTGAGATAAACATCCGTGATAAACAACAGATTAGCCCATGTAATACAATTGTTTCTATTAGAATTGGACCATTTCTGTTTAATACAGCTGGTTTTATTAATCATTCTTTGTTTTCCCTTTCAAAATATACATATACAAAAAGTGCAAGATTCGGTATGTTAAGTTGATAATTTGATAATGCAAATAAAGAAACGGGCGCATTTTACATTTTTTTAATTCTTCATTAAAAAGTTTTCCTCAGATTTTTACTCTATTGTTTCTCACCTCAAGTTTACAACAAACAACATTTTAATCCCCTCTCATATTACACAGGCACAAACATGACAAACATGACAAACAACCACCTGTATTCACTTTGCCAGTCATAAAAAACAGTTATGACACAGAACTGCTCAATATTCAGCTAAATTCATTATGCATTTTACACAGGCCCGTACCTAGCGACCCACTCCCCTTGGACAACAATTCTTTCAAGATCACGCCGTTTTTCACAATCTCGTACATGCATTGACATGCCAGAGCAATATAATTAAAACTTTAATCCCCAAGTATTCAATTTCTATGACATGCGTTTTGTTCACTGATAACTAATCCGTTTGTTATGAGTTAAAGGATTAATATCTACAGCCGATGGTTCTGATTTTTACAGAAAAATAATTTGAAAATTAAGATTTTCTTATTTATTTGATTCTTTAATGTCCCTCTTGCTATGATTCATTGTGTGTTAAAAGAACGAATGGCTATAGACATCCCTGGGGTCACTTAACATTTTTTGAAAAATGCAATGTCGTTAATATCCTTGATATGTAGCATCAAATTGTAGATAAATATGTATATTTTCAAGAAATAGCAATAAAAAACATTCAAGATTACTGATATAAGTATATTTTTGTTGATTTGAGAGGTATGTATCACTTCCTGTGAAAATGTGAATTTTTTATCAGTCTCAGAAAATATCTCCAGAATGTATAAACCCAACTTGGCAGATGTCCCATTGTTTGACTGAGTCACTCTATACACTCGTTGGATTAATATTTTGTACACATATAAATTGTCATTTTACCATAGTCATTGAGGGGCGATTAGTTAGGTTTGCAATTGTGTTGACCTACTTATTTTTAGAGAGAGGAAGGTCATGATAAACTCTTGCTTTGTTCACATAACGCCTGGTTCTTACCTAGAAAGTTATATGCATTGAGGGAATTGTGTACTTCTGAGGTACTTCTTGAGACATATAAAAATCTAGGTAAGGACCAGGCGTTGTGCAAAAATGAAACTTTTATGCAATTTTCAGCATGAAATAAAATGATGTCAGCCATTTTGAGAATCCTAAGAATAATTGTGACAATTGTGTTTTACATATTTAAGTATATTTTCTTATTTAATATTATCATTTCATGAACTAATATCTATGCTTGCACTGAAGCATGACCTCTGGAGAAGCATTTATTTTTCCACGGCTCTAAGCAACATAATAACTTGTAATTCCTTTCTATACATTCATATAAATATACTTGCAAAATTGAGATGATTGTTGTACAATCATTTAATCTTCATGTGACAGGCGTCATTTTTGTCAATGAATAATTTTTTTTATATCATCACAGTTCACTTGCTTAACAAACCAATGTTCATATTTAGAAATACAGCTCTACTTTATTGTTCAGAATGGAGCCAGTTTTGAAAAATGAGCGGTGCGTTTTTATTAAACGGAAATGCAATGCATAATCTGTTCTGATTTAGTGAACGTGATCTAATTCATCGATATTTTTACTTAGAAATAAATTTTCTCTCATAGTTTTGGCTTGAAATGACTTTTTGCAAAAAATCTTGAAATAAGTTACAATTTTACGTATTTTTCAATTTTTCTCATTTTCAGGCCAATTATACGAGAATAAGATGCATAATGCACATAGAAATGATCGTGATTCCCAGTTGCTAGATTGTCCCTACATAGCTTGTGTAAGATGGAGCGAGCTGATTTGTAAACTGGCTCCAAGTTGGAGCCAGTTTTGAAAAATGAGCGGTGCGTTTTAATAAAACGGAAATGCAATGCATAATCTGTTCTGATTTAGTGAACATGATCTAATTCATCGATATTTTTTCTGCATAATTCACATAAAAATAATCGTGAGACAGTATCCCGTGATTCCCAGTTGCTAGATTGCCCCTACATAGCTTGTGTGAGATGGAGCGAGCTGATTTGTAAACTGGCTCCAAGTTGGAGCCAGTTTTGAAAAATGAGCGGTGCCTTTTTATTTAACGGAAATGCAATGCATAATCTGTTCTGATTTAGTGAACGTGATCTAATTCATCGATATTTTTACTTAGAAATAAATTTTCTCTCATAGTTTTGGCTTGAAATGACTTTTTGCAAAAAATCTTGAAATAAGTTACAATTTTACGTATTTTTCAATTTTTCTCATTTTCAGGCCAATTATACGAGAATAAGATGCATAATGCACATAGAAATGATCGTGATTCCCAGTTGCTAGATTGTCCCTACATAGCTTGTGTAAGATGGAGCGAGGTGATTTGTAAACTGGCTCCAAGTTGGAGCCAGTTTTGAAAAATGAGCGGTGCGTTTTAATAAAACGGAAATGCAATGCATAATCTGTTCTGATTTAGTGCACATGATCTAATTCATCGATATTTTTACTTAGACTTCAATTTTCTCTTATAGTTTTGACTTGAAATGACTTTTTGCAAAAAATCTTGAATTATGTTATAATTTTACATATTTTTCAGTTTTTCCTTTTTTTCATGCAGATTATACGAGAATAAGATGCATAATCCACATCAAAATGATCGGGAGACAGTATCTCGTGATTCCCAGTGGCTAGATTGTCCGTTAATAGCTTGTGTTTAATGGTGCGAGCTGATTTGAAAACTGGCTCCAAATTGGAGCCAGTTTTGAAAAATGAGCGGTGCGTTTTTATTAAACAGAAATACAATGCATAATATTTTTGGAATTGATGAACGTGATCAAATTCATCGATAGCCATGCTTAGAATTCAATTTACCCGTACAGTTTTGCAAAAATATGACAATATAAACTATATTCAAAAGCCATCTTCTGCAGTACGTCAGTAAGTAAGAAGCCAGTTTTAAAAGCCGGCTTCTTGGTGACTCCAGAAGCCGGCTTCTGTTGTCCTTCAGAAGCCGGATTTTAAAAGCCGGCTTCTTGGTGACTCCAGAAGCCGGCTTCTGTAGTACGTAAGAAGCCAGTTTGTAAAAGCGGTTTTTGCCTTCGAGTACTTCTGCTAATTTTTGATAACCTTTTTGACTCATTTTACGTTTCCGTTAATTTTCGGATTGATTTAGACCTCCTGCAAACCGTTAACTGCTGCAATATGTAATATGATGAGATATAGTGATATAAAATGATATAATATTACATGATATAAAGATATCATTGATACAAAATGATTCGACAATGATACAATAAAAAACATACGATACAAATGTTCAATACATACACATTGCGGGCTTTGTTTCAAGTTTTTTGTTGCACATCCAGCCTTCAGATTATCCCAGGAACAGAACCTCGAAACGTTCGTCAATTTTGTGTTCATATAATAGGCCAACTGAAAAGAATTGTGGGTCTATTGGTCCTGTATAAGGTGGATGAGCATGGTATAAAATTGATTTTACTGTAGAGCAAATGACAAGGAGATGTGCGAAATGAATATTAAACACAAACCAAGATTTATACGGGTGAGTATGACTGCTTATGATGTGCCATATCGTTCACACAAGTCGATCCATCTTGGTTTCAATGAATATTCTCAATAATTGATGATATAGAGACGATATAGATTTACCTTGCTCATATTATCAACCTATGTTATTGTACCATTCCCAGTTCTTTTGTTTGCTTACATGAATACGCAATATATAGAAGATTTCAGGAAAAATAACGGAAACGGAGATTGTGGTTCAAACCAAGTTCGGAAAAGGAACTTATAATGTATGCTACAGAGAATCGATTGTTCAGCTAGAGACACCAGATATTCATATGTAAACAAAAAAGCGAAAAGCCTTTTATATTAAGAGTTATATTTGTTGATATATATATTTATCCTATGCCAAGTAGAGTTTTAGGGAGATAAGTTGGTAAGATATATCCCGTATCCTGATTTTGAGGTTTCCATATCCAGAACCTCCATATCTCCCGCCATATCTCCCGCTTCGGTGCATATCTTCCCGCTTCGGCGCATATCTTCCCGCTTCCGGGAAGTAGTGGAAATGCAATAAAATGACTTTGCATACACCTTGTACTATTGAAATGGCCATATGCCCCTGAAAACTCTACTTGGTATAGGATAAAGCAGTTATGTACGGTCGGTTTGGATATTGGGTTCATCCCTCGTGAGATATGCACATCTACCTTCGGTCCCTACGGTCCCTCAGGTAGATATGCATATCTCCCTCTGGATAAACCCCATATCCAAAACCTCCCAGTACATAACCCTTATATATTGATTTTATTGAATTTAGATACCTCAAAAATTGGATCGTGCACGAAGGAGTTTGGAATCGTCGATGTCCCTGCCTTGAGCCTCCTCTCTAATCTGGGAACAAACAAAAAGTTAAGCAAAATAGAATTTCAAACACGATTCGCAAATTCCCAGTGGCTTACTTATTAGCATTTGTATTATTTTATTAGAAAAGGGCCTGTTTATACCATTTCATAAAGGTATATTGTAGTTTCTTTGTGGAGTGATGTTACATTTGAAAATAACTACATGACATTCTACAATTTATATATACCTGGTAATATTTAGAATTACATTGAGTTGGTGAGTGTTAATATACCTCTCTAAAGCAGGCCAGTTGAGGCAGAATCCAGTTGACACGTCAGGATAAAGAATGGGTCTTGATTTACCAACAATATACTGATGAATTACAGAAGGTGTTTCATCTGCCGACGCCCGTCCAAGAAACCATGGCTAAAATTTAACATGAATGCGCTAATTCAATTGACCAAGCCTAAGATATTCAAGGTCAAGGTTATGACTCCCCAAATCATGGTAAAGATGATCGAGGAGAAGTAATGACTGAATGAACTATTCTTCAAATGATGAAGAAAATGCTATTAGTACAATAACGTCATTTCGAAGGGCAATATAGTGAAATATTGGACCGAGGGCCGAAGGACTAAAACCCCTAGAACTGACCCAGCCAGGTGGTAATAATATAAATTAACAGACCATACCTGGACTGATATATCAGGAGTTGCATTCAGATGAGCAAGGTTAAGTTTAAGGAGAACTTGTACGTGATTATTATGACCATCATGGCTTACTCTCTCCCTCTCAATTAGTTTCTCCAGGGAACTAATTACAACATTTTCGTTATACCCTTATATTCAATCGGGCAAGTCAATACTATTAAGGAGAGAAGTAATCCATAGGGGAACATACTTATTGAACTTGTACGTAAACGTATATTATAAAGTAACGTTAGACGTTTTTAAGAGAACTTGTACGTCAATTCTATTAAGGAGAGAAGTAGAGAAGTAATCCATAGGGGAACATACTTATTGAACTTGTACGTAAACGTATATTATAAAGTAACGTTTGACGTTTTTAACAGAACTTGTACGTCAATTCTATTAAGGAGAGAAGTAGAGAAGTAATCCATATGGGAACATACTTATTGAACTTGTACGTAAACGTATATTATAAAGTAACGTTTGACGTTTTTAAGAGAACTTGTACGTCAATTCTATTAAGGAGAGAAGTAGAGAAGTAATCCATATGGGAACATACTTATTGAACTTGTACGTAAACGTATATTATAAAGTAACGTTAGACGTCTTTAAGAGAAATTGTACGTCAATTCTATTAAGGAGAGAAGTAGAGAAGTAACCCATAGGGGAACATACTTATTGAACTTGTACGTAAACGTATATTATAAAGTAACGTTAGACGTCTTTAAGAGAACTTGTACGTCAATTCTATTAAGGAGAGAAGTAGAGAAGTAATCCATATGGGAACATACTTATTGAACTTGTACGTAAACGTATATTATAAAGTAACGTTAGACGTCTTTAAGAGAACTTGTACGTCAATTCTATTAAGGAGAGAAGTAGAGAAGTAACCCATAGGGGAACATACTTATTGAACTTGTACGTAAACGTATATTATAAAGTAACGTTAGACGTTTTTAAGAGAACTTGTACGTCAATTCTATTAAGGAGAGAAGTAGAGAAGTAACCCATAGGGGAACATACTTATTGAACTTGTACGTAAACGTATATTATAAAGTAACGTTAGACGTTTTTAAGAGAACTTGTACGTCAATTCTATTAAGGAGAGAAGTAGAGAAGTAACCCATAGGGGAACATACTTATTGAACTTGTACGTAAACGTATATTATAAAGTAACGTTAGACGTTTTTAAGAGAACTTGTACGTATCGTGAATGTGTTAAAATAATGACCGTCCAAGGGTATTTGTCATGGACGTATATTATCAAAACTATTTTCTTTGCACATATTTAATTGGTGATGTAAGTACAATGTAAGAGAGAAGCAACCCTTAGAAGATATTAAAACCGGATATTTTAACCTCTCTATATTAATAACTACATATCTGTCGACTCACTTCATTTGGATTGAATCCTTGTAATAGATCCTTCAGTTTATCAGGCCAAACATCAGTCTCATCTTCTAAGAACAGAAGCCATAGATTCTCACCTGCATGATTGTGAGAATGTAAAATACTGAAAACATAATTTGGTTGGGATTAGCATTTTATAAGTCCATATATCATTAGATATGACAAGTTAATAGAAGAGATGCAATAAGAAACTTCGTTTTTATAGATGTTAACATCTATTTCACCCATACAATAATAATAAATGAACTATGGGTCACGAGATTGTTGTAAGCTTAATATACATGTACCAGGTCGTTCAATAATTTCGCGGAATAATACTCTCATTTCAAAGGTTTTTAGTGTTTTTCGTGAAATTTTCACATAACATCCAAAAATATATATTTAGCGATTTCTAAAATATCAGTATCTCTAGTTTGATTGGTTAAAAATGACAGTTACTATGGTAGCTTGACTTTTAGGTAGGCGGGGCACTTTACGTCACACAATTTACCATAACTGAATCCACCAATGCGTTCAAGTGAAGGCTTATTTCTCTACTATATTTTATTTGTTCTTGTTTAAATTACAAATGGTTAATGTAGAACAACTAAATGAGAGCACAATCACAGTTAGTAATCTTTAATCATACATGATTGCTCAGGTGACATCGTCAAACAAAGTCATACTCGAGGGATTCCAAGATGGCTTCAATTCAAAGAGAAGCCTTCACATATTGAAGCTGCCATTAGATTCTATGTCCTTCGAGGGCAGACAAAACAAGAAACGATAAATCAGATTCAGAAAGTGTATGATAAAGATGCTATGATGAGGCAATACTTTGCTGTTTTCAACAGGATGAAGGACGAGTTAAAACATGTAAGGAAGGAACAATGCAAGAATCTCAATGGCAGTCCAAATGGCCCTTCGAACAAGTTCCCCTAATAGAGGTTTCAGAACCCAATAAACCAATGAGTTGAATGGCAGTGACTGCATTAAACACAAGGGAGAGTACTTTGAACACCTCGTGAGACAATATGTCTAATGTGGCTATGAGAAGCCATAGCATGTATAAAATAAATAAATGAAAAGCAGAAGGAAATGCATGTGATTCACTGATAACTTTGTTTACTATTTTGTTGCCTCTCTCTACTGAATAACGAATAATATGTTACACAAAAGTGCCAAGCCTACCCAAAAGTCAAATTAATTGTTGTTTTTGACCAAATATCAAATACCAGATGCTGATTTTTAAGAAATCAATAGATATATACTTTTTGGATGTTATGTGAAAATAAGATGAAAAAATATTAAAACGTTCAGAATAATTAAACGTAATCGCACGTACTAACGTTTATTGAATGTTTCCATAAAATGGCGACAACAATGAAATACGTGCACTTCCGATTGTACTCTCCGAAAAGCTGTACGCGTTTCCACCCCGATGCAAAAAATCTATGATAATACATTTAGCGTCGTATGATCTAGTAACTTACTCGGGGATAATAGGCAATATCGTCCAAGCGCTGTCGAAGGGCCATTCTTCATGTGACAGGTATACTTTGTCCTCTTGTGCGAGTTCTTTCTCCAATGCTAACCTCAATTTGTTGGCCTTTGCAATGTGGTAGTTGTGTGCCTGACTCAGTATGACGACAACCAATGTAACGTTTCCAGTCCTGTTAGCCAGTGCTGTTGAAAACATACTGCGTGAATTATGAAAATGTATCATTGGAGGGATAATTCGGTCACCATATAAATCAATGGAGAGTAGGACCATAATTTGATAGGACCTCCTACCCTTTTACACCTGGCATATCATATAACACGCCTAATTCTTTTCACAGCTTTCAACTGGAAGTGAACGGTGTACACTGGTCAGTATCAAGTGAAGGTAACGGCCGTCACCTTTGCATCAAAGATGGCGGACGGGAAGTGTCGGTTTTAATATTTTAGTTTTCATCGAATTAAACTACTTAGTAGTTGACGTAATACTTTGATATTAGAATCAAATCAGACTCATATGACATGGGAACTATGGTATGATAATTTGTTTAAGGATATCTTCCACCACTTAATGGAAGGTAACTGGAAATGTGAGATACGGTAACGGTCATGTAAGTTTTCAATGCACGGTAACGAGACATCATATATAACGTTACCGCATCACCGCATATCAGTTATCTTATCATCTGTAAAACCAAAATCCCAGTTACCTTCCCTTAAGCGGTGGAAGATATCGTTAAACAGTGGCGCCAACACATGATTTATGAACAAATGATCATACCACAGAGTTTCCATGTCATATTAGTCGGATTTAGTTCAAATATCAAAGCATTACGTCAACTATAAAGTAGTTAATTTAATGAAAACTAAATATATCGAAATCGACACTTCGCGTCCGCCATCTTTGATGCGAAGGTGACGGCCGTTACATTCGCTTGATACTGACCAGTGGGTGTAGAGTAAGAATTAATTTTAAGCTTTTGATTTTACTTTTGAAAGATTATGAGTCTTCGGCTCTCACAGATACATTGTAAGTGCTCTGCAGAGGTATCCTGAGTGTTAGTTCGTCGCTAATTTCCGATTGGAATTTCTCATATCCTCTATGCAGCATATCAATTTATAAAAAGAGCTGTCATTTTAGTAACATGGCATATTTTGAATATTTTCTACTTTGAGCCCAATTATCGTAAAGAGAAAAAAATCAACATAATCATCATTTTTCAAAAATACGCTGAATAATTTTGAAAAGCCATTTTTGAAATGTGAACCAAGTGCAAGGCATTCAATTAACACCCTCAAATGTTTAGCCACTGCGAAGATTGAGCGTTATACAACATCTGTATCTGTTGGAAAGCTACATATCATCATAATTTTGAACAGTTTAAGTGGTGTCTTTGTAAAATTAGAGATATCTACCTGTTTCTCATTATTTCTGTTTCCAATTATTCCCAGAACAATATTTGACTAATTGAGAAAAGGGATGTTTAGTGCCACAGACATTTTTCTTTTAGAAATTCGGCACCAAAGAGGGGGTGTTGTATGTACAGTACCTTTAATTACCCCAGGGGTTACATTAGACACCATGACAGGAGACGTTCCTCTGGTTTGTGTTTCATTTGACGCTAACTCTCCAAAATGAAGGCCTGGTATGGTTGTTGCCATTTGTGGCTTGGAGTTCATCGTCCTCCAATATAACAGGACAACTGGAAATCGGATTAGATCGTATTTCAATTATGAATTTACCTTTTGGAATCATTGTGCCTCAAAATTAATCAAGGTACAGTTTGCAAAATAATGAATTACCATATTTGTATTGTATTAGTTAATTTGGACAACTTGGTTTTGCCCTGAGCGCATAATTATGTAAAAATGCAATTGTAAATCGACGTTAGAGATCACATAAATTGCACCTAGATTTATGGTTTCCCATGCCAAATAGGATTCAGCAAAATTCAAACTCGATATTCTGTTGCCTTGCATGAAACAATTTGGTAACAATATTTCCCATATGTTGAAGAATAGCAGTGTCATAAATTTGAGTATTACTATGATACTCGTAAACTTTATGTGTATACTTTCTTGGTCCAAAGATGAACTTCATAGACTAGATAGTATTACCAAATTGTTCCACGCCAGGCAACATAATATTGAGTTTGAATTTTGGCTTCCAATCCTCTTTGCCCCATCTCTGCCCAAGGAGGATTGGCTCCCAGAATCGAAACTCGATATTTTCTGACAATGAACACGTATTTTCCGAAATTATAACCGCCTGTAAATTCAAAATAAAAATTTCAAAAGATTCGAACCAATATCAGTCTCGATCATTTCTTGTGATTTTTTGATTTTACCCCGGGAATTTTACCTGTTGTAGTTGCAGTGAACATCAGTAACAAAAGACATCCTTTCTTCATACTGGCCATGGCTTGCAAAATGCATAGATGGCGCTCAGCTTCAACATGATGTAACGTGTATCATCCCTTAAGAATTTCCAATTAGTATCCTCTAATTTTCAGCCTCGATAATATTGTGACATACGGTGTATCATCCTCCATATAGGTTAATATTTCTTAGTTCCACTTATAATTCACGGTGAACAAAGAGAGTGCCATTCACATTACAACGTAGTATTCGGATCTATACTACTTTACTCCAAGTTCGGGTTTATATTGAGCTCACTTTATATACACGACATACATATAGTATACTATTAGTACAGTATCGGTTGTTATATATCCCGCGCCGTGTCCTATATATGAGTTTATCATTTAAAAAGTGTAAGTTAAGTAGACAAACTTAAATTATCTCGACGGTGTTAAATATCAATATATGGATAGTTAAATATTAACTGTTATGGTTAATATTATCGTTCCCTTGATGATTTTAAGACAACTTGTACGTGAACGTGTAGAATCATGGTTCTTTTGAAAAAGTGTAGCCTAATCTCAACATTAATATTGGACCAACTTAATAGTGTACACAAATTATTAAAGAAAATGTTCAATTGATGCCTCAACTGCTAACTACTCATCGCATTCTACAATGCATTATAATTTAGTATCGTATCTAGTGAACAAACCATTGGCTCTTTTTAAAATATTTTGAGTCATATCTTCCCTTGTTGTCTATTATTCAAAAAATTCACATAATGTATACTTTATTAGAAGAAAACTAATACTTTTGAGGTATATCCAGAATTATGGCAATGTCTATACTTTATATACATTGTCTATACTTTCTATACTTTCGATCTCCTTTTTCATACTATCTGCCTTCGACGTTTCTATACTTTCTATACTTTCGAACTGCTTTTTCATACCAACTGCCTTTGAAAAATCAGATGTCTATAGTTTCTATACTTTCGAAATGCCCTTTCATACTAACTGCCTTTGACAAAGCAGATGTCTATAGTTTCTATACTTTCTATACTTTCGATCTGCTTTTTCCTATAACTGGTTTAGACAAATCAGATGTCTATAGTTTCTATACTTTCTATCTGCTATTTCCCAGAACTGTCTTCGACATATCAGATGTCTATACTTTCTATACACTCTATACTTTCGATCTGCTTTTTCCCATAACTGTCTTCGACAAATCAGATGTCTACAGTTTCTATACTTTCTATACTTTCTATTTGCTTTTCACAAAACTGTCTTTGACAAATTAGATGTCTATAGTTTCTATACTTTCTATCTGCTATTTCCCAGAACTGTATCCGACATATCAGATGCATTCGATCTGCTTTTTCCCAGAAATGTGTCAGACAAATTAAATGTCTATAGTTTCTATACTAGTACTTTCTATACTTTCGATCTGCTTTTCCCCATAACTGTCTTCGACAAATCAGATGTCTATAGTTTCCATACTTTCTATACTTTCGATCTGCTTTTCCCCATAACTGTCTTCGACAAATCAAATGTCTATAGTTTCTATAGTTTCTATACTTTCGATCTGCTTTTCCCCATTACTGTCTTCGACAAATCAAATGTCTATAGTTTCTATACTTTCTATACTTTCGATCTGCTTTTCCCCATAATTGTCTTCGACAAATCAGATGTCTATATTTTCTATGCTTTCTATCTTTATGACGTCACATATTTTTTACAATGTATAGAAAGTATCGAAAGTATAGAAAGTATAGACATAGGGATTTCACCAAAATGTAAAGTATCGAAAGTATAGACATAGGGAATTCACCAAAATCAAAAGTATAGACAGTATAGAAAGTATAGACATGTATAGACTTTAGAGAGTCCAATCGTCTAATACTGAAAAAGTATCATTTAAAAAAAGCAGTTCGAAAGTATAGAAAGTATAGAATATGCCATAATTTTGGATATACATGATACTTTTTACAATAATGTGTTTATTTTTCGCATTTCATACATTCGTGGCAAAAGACCTAGACTTCAACACAACGCGGCCGTCAGTTCCGACCTCGCTGACCACGTTCATTCTATCCGATCACTTTCTCCCAACGCGAACATTGGTTCTTCAAATTAGTATAAACCAAAGAGGATTGGCTCCAAGGGACAAAACTCGCAAAATTCGACCTTGACCTCGATCGATATCAATCCTCAATGTCGTTATTTATTGACATTATAACTAACCATAAATTCACAATGCGGTCCAAAAGATTTGGACTAATATCAAAGGTAAAAAATTCTTAAATGCTTTTCGTGTAGTCAATACTGTATTGTAAGATGTAAGCTTACGTTTTCCATGTAACGGTATTGTAACTTGTATTTTTGCAATTGCTTTATCATGTTTTTTCTTCTCTGAAATAAAAAATTAAATTAAAAAAAATGTCTTGATCATTTCTTGTCTTTTGGAATTTCTTGATTAGAAATAAGCCTGAAACTCGCGATTCAAACCCTCAAGTGAAAGACCGGCATTCTGTTAATATCGAAGTTTGTAATCACGACATCCTCCAAGACCGAATTCATTGTTGAAAAATATTGAGATTGCATTCTGGGAGCCAATCCTCCTTGCCATGAACCCCAAATACCCCAAAGCTATGCTGGCGCATTTTTTTCTCTTAGACTAAATGGTATAATAAAGAATATCAAACGAAATCTCAATAAACCATTATTCAGGACCCATATCGGCATGTTTTCAGATGTAGACCGTCTATTTTCTCATTTTTACATCCTCCGAACGCAGTGCTCCAGACATCGAAGGAGGTAGGAGTTCTGGAAGCCTGTGGTTCGGAGGATGCATAGAAGTTCCTTCTGCACTGTGACTTCTAAAAGAAAGAGCTGCATTGATATGGAAACTTATTCCGCTGTGCAAATTTGGGACATAGTGTCCGATTATTGGAAATGTTATTGGGCATGCACCGTGCATTAAATGTCGTGGTTTCTAAGAAACGTACGGATAGACAGTTTCTTCTGCACTATATCAGTGACTTCTAAAAGAAAGAGCTGCATTGATATGGAAACTTATTCCGTTGTGCAAATTTGGGACATAGTGTCCAATTATTGGAAACATTATTGGGCGTGCACAGTGCATTAAATGTCGTGGTTTCTAAGAAACGTACATATAGACAGTTTCTTCTGCACTATATCAGTGACTTCTAAAAGAAAGAGCTGCATTGATATGGAAATTTATTCCGCTGTGCAAATTTGGGACATAGTGTCCAATTATTGGAAATGTTATTGGGCGTGCACAGTGCATTAAATGTCGTGGTTTCTAAGAAACGTACGGATAGACAGTTTCTTCTGCACTATATCAGTGACTTCTAAAAGAAAGAGCTGCCTTGATATGGAAAGTTATTCCGCTGTGCAAATTTGGGACATTGTTTCCGATTATTGGAAATGTTATTGGGCGTGCATCGTGCATTAAATGTCGTGGTTTCTAATTAAGAAACGTACTGATAGACAGTTTCTTCTGCACTATATCAGTGACTTCTAAAAGAAAGAGCTGCATTGATATGGAAAGTTATTCCACTGTGCAAATTTGGGACATACTGTAGTGTCCAATTATTGGAAATGTTATTGGGCGTGCACCGTGCATTAAATGTTGTGATTTCTAAGAAAAGTACGAATAGACAGTTTCTTCTGCACTATATCAGTGACTTCTATAGGAAAGAGCTGCATTGGTATGGAAAGTTATTCCGTTGTGCAAATTTGGCACATAGTGTCCAATTATTGGAAATGTTATTGGGCGTGCACCGTGCATTAAATGTCGTGATTTCTAAGAAACGTACGGATAGACAGTTTCTTCTGCACTATATCAGTGACTTCTAAAAGAAAGAGCTGCATTGATATGGAAACTTATTCCACTGTGCAAATTTGGGACATACAGTAGTGTCCAATTATTGGAAATGTTATTTGGGCGTGTACCGTGCATTAAATGTTGTGATTTCTAAGAGAAGTACGAATAAAAATGATGTACATAGATAATTACTTTGCCTCATCAATTCTATTATTGGATTGATTAGGCTCATGCCATATACAACGTCGGTCATAAAAACCCTTTTCCAATGATTATAAACATGAGCTGATCGTAGATGTACTGTACGTTAAGAATAAACATGAGATGGCACATTATACTGTTATTAAACCATTACGCTACCTGGAAATTCATAAATGAGTTATCAAACAGAGAAATAGATAGAATTGATAGAATAATAAAATTCTTATTATATATAGAATCAGATCTAGTAGTGATTCATCATTACCTTCAATATTGCTACGCGGAATATGGCATATATTCATGGTTGCGCGGTATTTATGATACGGGTGAATATGCCATACTCACCTGCGGTATATGGCATATTCTGCAGGTGAGTATGGCATATTCCACAGTGAATATGTGATACATTGATTTCAGTGAATACCCGATACTCACCTGCGGAATGTGTCATACTCTTTTGCGGAATATGCCATATACCGCAGGTGAGTATGACATAAACTGCAGGTGAAAACGTGATACAGAGAGCCTTGATTTGACTGGTTGCGAGAATCGGCTCTAAATGTAAAACTATGCTGGATTACCAATATTGTTAGTGCTTCGAGTACTAATATATGAATCCTTGATTTATTGAATAAGTTTATCACGTGATATTGCCGAGTGATACTTCTGCATTAGTTGATATATTCATTACAGTTGTACTGTTGATTCAGTAATCATGATGATAATTTATACCCGTTTGTTCATTCGATGCAATTGACAATTGCGTAATTCCATATCATGTTTTTATTGGTTAGTGAGTATGCCATATACCGCAGGTAAATCTGTCATATACCGTAAGTGAATATGCCATATTCGTTTCGGAATATGACATACATGTATATTTGTATCGTGTTTACCGCGTAACAAATATGACGAAAATTGTTTCGAATATTTTGGCCTCATATCATTCCTTGTCATGTCTATTTTCTAAAAATGCCCAAAGTATTAACTTTATTTGAGGAAAACTATAGATTTTTACAATAATACATTCAATTGTCTAAAAATATGGTTATCATTTTTATCATTTGAGAGAATTCAAGCATTTTCGTACTTTTATGTACTTTGAATCTGAAATAACTACACCGAGGCATATTAAAGTTGTATATATGAAAGACTTTTAAATAAAGCCATCATTTTCACTTATTGGATACTTCTGAGCCTCTTTTTGTCACCTGATTAGCATCGATGTTGCATCGAGAATGGCCACCGTGGTATATCGTGTGTCATAACCATATGATTCCATGTACGTGTAAAGGGATGTATGTTAGCGGTATATGTGGTATGGATGCACTATATAGTAGTATGTCTATAGATTCACAAGAATTACGTAAAATGTTATGTCTGGTATGTGTTATGTTACGTCAAGATTAGATAAATGTCACACATTTTCTATTATACTTATGTTGACAATGAATATATTTGATTGCAAGTTTATTTGCTCTCTACAGATGTGACTAATGTTGCGAATGATTGCATTTGTCATTTTCTTTTTACCTTTTCTAAAAATGACGAAGTACCAAAAATAAGTATTCGAGTTGCGAAATTATTTTCTTTGAGAGGAGGGAAACCCCCAGAGCTTTAAGAGATGACAGACATGGCCTAATTACGTCTCTTGCTTAAACCATCTTCGTTTCAGTCAGAATTTTCACCGGCTAGTTTACGGGAATAACACGTCGTTGTGATGCTTTAATTGATGTTAGCATATTCCTTACATTTTCTTTATCTTGATGTGAAATAAGAAGCTATGGTATTAATTAGCATGTCAGAAATTTACATAATATTATTCGAAGCATGCTTAGAAAATTTTGAAATCGCCATTTGTCTGTCGATTTGACCAATCATCGACGATGTCTCTTCAATACCGATTTACATTATATACGTAGCCTATGTCATCTCTGAACCCTGGGGTTATTCCCCCTCTTAGTTTCTATCATTTTCTGAGTTCGCTTATACAAGGGGCGATCCATATATTCTGATAAAAATGCTCTCATTTTGTGATTTTTTCACATATTCCTTTCATTTTTTCAGAACATGTAGATTATGTAATTACACATACGATGCTAAAATATTTTAGCTGTATCTTAAATTAGTTTTGAAATAAGGTTGCCATGGTAACCTGTATTTAGGGTAGGCAGGTCAGTTAAATTATAACGTCTAAAATAGATAAATATGTTAATTTAATCATTCCTCGGCACCTATTTTAAGCAGATCAAATGCATCTTCCAGTCATTGTCAACTATTCTTGATCTGTTCCATACCCCTGTTGCCCTTGTTTGATAATTTATACAGTGGGATAGCTATCTTTTCATAAGTAACATCTCAATTTATCGTAGTGTTATTCTCTGTCCGCAAGCTCTTCTTGCAACCAGATTGTGGATGATCTTCAACAGTGACCATGCTTTCCTCTTTACAATACTACCTATATATTCTTTATGCAGATATAACACCTTGCCCATGCACTTTATGAGTCCATGTATGTCTCTGACAGTGTCCTCTTACTTATTCTTGAAAGAAAATCAAATCTAATGGTATTCCCTAATGTATCCGTTAATGTGACACTCTGCATCAGACACATTAACCTAATCTGACAATTTGATTTTTGGTGTGTCTCATAACATGTAATGTCAATTGGCCCATTCTGTCCTAAAATGCTATTGTGATTTGTTGTGATGTTATAGTGAGCACATATAAACATTTGTTTAGCAACAAACAACGAGTAACAATACCAAACTTTTTTAGAAAAAATGCATGATTTCCGCATGCTTTAAAATAATTAAAATAAAAATAACAAGTTATTTTGATATTTATATGTTATAATAAAATTGACCTGCCTACCCTTAATACAGGTTACCATGGCAGCCTTATCTCATTGATTATTTAAGATATAGCTATAATATTTTAGCATTGTATGTGTAATTACATAATCTACATTTTCTGAAAAAATGAGAGGGATACGTGAAAAAATCACAAAATGAGAGCATTTTTATCAGAATATATGGATCGCCCCTTGTATATTTCAAAAAGGAACAAGCTTATAAATTGTTGTCACCTGACGAGTGATAAAACAAAAACTCTTCTTCTAGGTTTCACTTGTCTTATTAAAATAGCAAGTCAAAATGTGCGTTATCACGTGACACACCTAAATCTGGGACTGGAGAGAGTACATCTGTATCAATATCACGGGGGGAGGGGGGGGGGGGGTAAAGCAGAAACGATGATACTGTGAACATTTGAGCCACGTTGAGTAGCTGAACATACCACCAAGCTCGTTATAGCCCCGTGACACAGCCATGCTATCGTCGAGCAAGCTCATTGTACCATCGGGTCTGCTTTACCCAAGTGAATATGAAAGTTCATGCTGCTTGAATAGCTCGTTGAAATGAAGGGTTCAACTGGTAAAAGTGCGTGTTTTACAGTTCACTATTACATCACAGTAGCTAGCGTCGTCATAAAATTGTACATCGATTTCTACGCAGGGCATCTTGAACCCTATCTGCTGTAGTTTTGTGATTGGATTCCATGCAGTCCACACATTTGAGCACCTCCTTGAAGAGTAAAACAACGTGCCAGTTCTGTTTGGCTGAGCATTCTATATATCCACATTTCCATTGCTTTTTAACCAGGTTTGCAACCTCTCTGCGCCCAGACACACCCTTGTCGGGGCTGAGATCGAACTTATTTGCGACAATGATAATCGGAATGTCGTGAAGACGACTCTCCAATATTTGTTCCCGCATAATGCGGACATATTGGAAACTGTCGTCAGACGTTATGTCATAAACTAAAATATACGCCGTGGCTGATCTTAAACCATATCCTCTGTAGTCCGCCCATTCGTAGAAAGAGTCTAAAGGGAAGTAAGGAATCACGGGGCAGTCGATGATTTTAATCTCAAAAATGGTATCATTAAATATTACTGATGAATAATAGAATTGTTTTTGAACTGTTGGGTCGTATTCACTGTGAAATGTGTTGCAGACGAACTGTTCTATGATGCTCGTTTTGCCAACATTCGGAGCGCCTAGTATGGCCAGTTTAACCGTTTGTATTTCAGTTGGCTCCGTGGATACATGTGCAGATGGTATCCGTGTTATCCTGTTTGGCTGCATCCCCAGTGACCTTCAAAACAGCTTCTTTTGAATGGAACGTAACGCTACCTGCAAGCAGAAAATGTCATATCTGAACAAGGCATTGACATGCAAAATATCACCACCTTGCCATTTGTCACAGTCGCAGACCGCCGAACAACGTTCACAAAAAAGTTAGAGACTTTAGCAATATGGCACCACTTGAGCGGTGGCATAACAAGACCATCTTCGTCTTCCAAGGTGGTTAACACAAGGCCAACTGAAACCTTGTGAATCAAGATGGCAATAATTTAGACACCATTCCACGCAAGCCTACTGATTACGTCTTAACTGGATTATGAAAATGATTAATAAAATACATTATGCGATGAAAGATTGTTCAATGATTATGTTATCTTATCTTTGCATAACAAAGGCAACATTGATTCCCTCAGCACTGTGTTGTTATTGATGACGAAACCGACTAGCGGTTCTGCTGGGATGAGCCTATCAACAGAATTCAAAATACAGAATCCATGATGCTTGCTCAAACTTTAATCAGACAGCTCTTGAATTTAAACATTGGTTCAATCTCGTAATTATACAAATTGCCAGATAACAAGATTTAGGACGAGATCTCTTCTATTACAGTAACTCCTTGACTATGAATGTTACATCTACTAAAGTAACGAGGCATCACGAGGATACAGGACAGATTTCTTTAAAACATATTACGAATCTCAATGGTCCGAATCTCATTCGTCCGAATCCCAATCATCCGAATTCCAATGGTCCGAATCCCATTCGTCCGAATCACATTCTTCCGAATCACATTCGTCCGAATCCCAATCATCCGAATTCAAATCGTCCGAATCCCATTCGTCTGCATCGTCGCTTTCCACTGGGTCTAGAGGTAGGAACAATCGAAACCTTGTGAATCAAGATGATTCGTCTGAATACACAACGTCCGAATCACAATCGTCCGAATCCCATCGGTCCGAATCCCGCCTAGTAATGCTTAATTTTTATATCAAGATAAAGATGCGAGAAATATGTGAACATGGAATAAGATATCACGTTCATTTGTAATCATTGAATATTATTAATTCCCGCCATTGATTATTGATAATATTACGTTTAGCGTTGCATCTTTTCGCCAAACATTATGCTTGCCCTGATATATGTAAAAGTACGCCATGTATTGTATGCCAGATTATTTGCGAGTAGATTACTCATAAGTTTTGCCGTCATTTTTGTCAGAGTACAAAATATCAACGTTGCCTTTGCCGCCATGTATGTCAGGCTATGAAACATTGGAGTTGCCGTCATGTCAGATTGAAAATTAAGTTTGCCGTAGTGTATTGCAGACTAAATATTGGATTTGTGAAAAAACTTAATTATGTCACTTTGTATATGTAGGAGTATTAAATATGTCACAATGTATGTCAGAGTACTAAATTATGTCACTATGTATGTCAGAGTACTAAATGATGTCACTATGTATGTCAAAGTACTAAATTATGTCACTATGCACATGTATGTCAGCGTACTAAATTATGTCACTCAGAATACTAAATTATGCCACTATGTATGTCAGAGTACTAAATTATGTCACTATGTATGTCAGAGTACTAAATTATTTCACTATGTATGTCAGAGCACTAAATTATGCCATTATGTATGTCAGAGTACTAAATATAATTTTGACGAATTGACGTCGTCAGTGAGTTAAAACAAATGCTGTTGCCAGGAGGGGATTCGCTCTACTTGAAATTACAGCGAGTTGCAGTCATAAAACATCATACTTCTGTGTGCCGTGTCAATATATAAATGATCGATCTGAAGGTGTTTATAGACAATTGATTAGAAACAACAGAGTCCCATGATATCATATAATAATTTACAGTCTTCTGAGTATCTTAGTCCCTTAGAACATTGTACAAGATATGGCTTGAAATTACTTTTGATTTTGGGTTCCCTAGAGGTGACATTAATGGGTGAGTCGGCTGCATTGCCAATGGCTAAGTCATAGTTCATGCATTTCGAAGATCAAAAGATTATTGGCAAGAAGATAACAGACTATCCGTCACAATTAACAACAATACCCCTACTAGGCCTACGATTCTAAAGGGACTAACATCCATTAATTAATTCTAAATACTCAATTTGCGATGAATTAGGAGAGTTTGATTACATGGTTTCTGGCGGTCGAATTCATCTCCGAGTGTAAATCGAAAATAAAATGGACATGCTTATGATTTGATAAATTTATGTCAGAGTCAATATGTAATAGTGTCTGTCAGGAAATGCTCTGATGATCAATCTTTCCAACGATTAATATCACTAATGGATTACGGTGATTTATAACATCGAAGCTAAGGTAGCGCCAAAATGGAGGAACAATTGGTCATGCATGCTCTCCACGTCTGTCCAGAAAAGTGACTAATCTAGATATTTTTTGTTCAAATGGTACATCCATTCGGTGACAAAGAGATTACTCTGTATCCACTGTCCATATGTTAAATGAAAATTGATCTCATGTTCAGATTTAGTTGAAGCAGTAGCAGAATTTTGATTTCACAGATTTTTTTGAAGCTGTTCAGGTAATTTGACGTATTATACATTTGAATATGGATACATCAAGTTATCTCTTCGTCACCATAAGGACGTTATATCTAACATATACAATACAGTTTTCTCGAAGACAGGTCGAGTCGCAGTCCAAGCTTTAGCTTCGATATTATAAATCACCGTGTGGATGTCGCCACATACACATTGTAATGCCCTGGTAGGTCAAAGGAGCAAAAGGATGGTCTCAAGTCTTATTCAAAATTCAAATAACAATATTTTCAACTTTGGTTGCAATATTGATGAAATTTCCAGGGGAGGGTTGGAGGGGGGAGGGGGGCACGGGCTTGAGGTAAACCTCTAAAACGTGTTCATTTATATTACTTTTTATTTTGTCAAATTCTTTGAAAATGTTTTCTTTGAATACATAAGGACTTTAGGAGTGTTTAAAGTTAATCAATTGCAAAAATCTGGCCAAATAATTCGGGTAACAGTTGTATACTTGGTATCAAAACTACTGTATGACAAAAAGTGTCAATCTTTGACTTCTTGATTAGATCCTATATCCAGTATAAATTCAGTTCATACATTTTCATAAACTCTCAGAAACATTTATTTATGGTTTGACGTTTCACGTTTTGAAAGAGTGAAAGAGTAATCAACATTAGGTTACCCTATTTATAATAGAGCCTACTTATAAACGAAGACGAAGCTCTCTTTTGAGAAGTGAAGTCGAACGAATGCAAAGGGCAACAATTGTGATGTCCAATTAATCAATTAGAAACTTGAAATGAAAACAGGAAAACAACCCATATAATTGAAGCGCGGATAGGTTTTCACAACTCGTATGACAGCGCATAACATTTATTACAAAACCATCGTCATTAATTGGATATTGCTCATTTCCTATCAATAGATCTCTTACATTAGAAGCGGAGCATTTAAACAATCATACAACGCCTAACAACAGGCTCTTTCATTTCACGATTTATTTGTTGTTCTCATGAAAGAATCCAAGTTATCTTGCAGATACTCAAATGACCGACATGAGTTCCATAGAATTTGCGTCAACTTTTGTATCAACTTTTTCATTACTTTTGGTTACCCACTCGTATTAAATCAATTGATGGCCAATTCTACAATATATACAGATATCAATGACGCGCCATATAGAAAGTAACATTTTGTGATGCCCAATTGAACTCTGCATCCGTAATTGAATTTGCCGACATACCTACAAATCAGACAAATCTAATAAAGAAAGCATCTTTGAAAATTTAGGGCCTTTAGTAATGAACGAACTTGAGTAGGCTGACGAGGCTGGTGAACTGAGTGTAATAAAATAGTGTTTCTAGTGTTCTACTTTATTCTATATGGAAATAAAGCCGCGTAAATTGTCAACATTTTTCAGGAAATAATTTGATGAAATGATTGATTGAGTTGTATGCGTCCCAAAGAATCATTATTTTTGACATGTAAATAATGAAAGTGTCACGTAAAAAGGTCACATAGCTTTTAAATAAATTGTTTCCAAATAGTGAAACGTTTGGTTCTGCATCAGGAGTTAAAACCTTTAGGAGCGTATTAAGAAGGTTTTGGTCAACACTAATTACTTAATCGTATGTCCCTGTATTATTCAATCGATATTAATTATCTGGCACATGTCGAGTCTGTATTTCTTAATCTTCTTATCGGCTGTGTGATTAATGAAGAATATTAGCAGTGCTCCTTTGAAGTACTTCATGATTAGAAGAAAGAAGTAGAATGTTTAAGTGTACAGAATTGTACAGTACGGCGTTTTTGCATTTACTTCAGAAGAAACTAAGAGAACAAAATCAATTTGATTCAATTCATCCATCAATCTGAGTATCAATCATTGGGATATCGACCTCATGTTTCCTGTCTGAACCCTCTGTCCCTAATGAGTCGTTTGACCCATTTCTCAAGCGTTTGGTCCCACTGTTACTGTAACAACCTTGGAATACTGTGCAACCCAACAGTGCAACCAGTGCTTTCTTTAACATAACCACGTGTGATGAGAGACATCACATTGGCTTCGGAAGGGGAGGGCGTTGGCCCCTTTCCCCAGATTTTTAAGATTTGAAAGCGATAGAATTGAAAGCTCTAGAGCTAATTAAAGTCACAGTGCAATAATGACAGAAATGAGATCTCATTTCTCATATTAAATTAATTCTACACCATGTATAGTTTCTCAGGAACCCATACAGTATGTAAATACTAAATGAAGAATAAGTGCAAATGTATATTTTAGTAAAAGTTTTTTAGTCAAAGTCAATTTAAAGGGCCAACAAGGCCTGTAGAGGGAAAATTCGAAAATTGTTACTTTTTCTGAGCTATCAGGGCAACATTTGGCTAAACATCTCCTGACATCATATTTTCTTAAATGATAAACTATCGATTTTAGCATTAGAAGACATAGTGTAAATTCACCTCAAGCTTCTATAAAGGGAGTCCCACTTATAGATAAGATCCAACACATTTCAAGAGGAATATTAGCTGGA